ATGATCGAAACTTGATTTTGGAACAAACCAACGAGGAGTCGAGGACAAATTCCTGGGATTATCTAGGCTGTGTACAGAGTATCGATGAAGGTCGCAAGAGTGTAATGTGCCTTCCAATGATGAAGAATCAGAGAGAGGGACTTAATGGGAAGTTGGTTTTTCAAAACATTCAGGACTACGGTTCCTATTCAAGCAAACAGCAAAAAATGGCTGTTATTGGTTCCTTTTTACATCGCGCCAAGACGTATGCGTCGGTTGCAGGAGCGGAGCTGCCTTTTTTTATTTCCTTAAAGAGTGAATTATGGAGAAGAGGCTACCCTGATGAGTTTTTTGATGTGGCGTTGGTTTCTTTGAGGATGCGCCAAGTTCAGTTTTCCGTGGTACCGTGTTTCCAAGTGGTGGTGCTGGGATTGTTGTTTTTTTAATATTAGTTTCGAAGGAAGGACTTGGGCCTTTTGACAGGTGGAGTAGTGAGAAGTGGCTGTTGTTGCCCAGTGGGGGATTTTTTAGTATGTAAGAGGTGGCGTGGGACGAACGTGGGAAGAGGCGGGTTGTTTTTCAGTGGAGGTAGACGGTGGTTGCGACGCTATACGGATTCGACAGTTCTGAGAGGTAGGAAGGTCCAAGAAGGTGTTTTGGCTTTGTTTCGAAATGGGTACGGGTTGTGACTATTTTTTAATTTACCAGATAGTTTTTTTGGGTTAGGTACATTACGACTGCGTTTTCAGACCGTGTCTAGGTTAGTTCTCAGTATATATAGCTTCATGTATCTACGGATCAGTAAGACTCCTGATGATCCTGACGCGGCGGTCAGGTGAAACTGGTAGGGTCGTCGCCGCTATACTGCTGCTTGTATCGACGATGGTTTTTTGGAAGCAGCGGTCACGTTCGGGTCACTAAAGCTATGTCCACTTTGTGTCGTGTTTCGTCGGTCGTGTCTTGCTTTCTGTGCTGAGTACGGTTCGGTGTGTTGTCTTGTCTTTGACCTGATGTGTTGATACACTTACTTACGTCCCGTGCCGTTGTAGGCCGGTCCTAGGCCGTCCGGGCCGGCCCTTCCCATCCCTTCCCAGCTCCTTCTCTGGCCGTTACCATGCCCCTCCGGCGTCTCCCTCCCTCAAGCGTCTGTCTCCCTCCGATGTCGTAGGCGTCGTAGGCCGTCCCGTCTCCCGCTGCCATGTGCTCTCTTTCTTATGAGACGTGAGCGACCTTGCTCCAACGCGCCAACCATGACCTTTTTTTTTTTTTTTTTTTTTTTTTT